CGATGTCCTATCTTATGGTCAATCAATGAGAAAAAGATTTCTTAACTTATATACATTAAACATCACCACATTAATAAGTAACTAGATTATACACAAACCCAAAAAATAATTCTATACTAAGAAAAATATCGAGAGAAACAGAACTAAGTTTATACACGTGAGATACAAATTCAGATAAAAAACAAAATAATTCAGCATACAATTGTTTCTAACAAAAAAGACAAGAAAAATATTATTTATCAAATACTAGGATTGTCATTAAAGACGAAAAATTTTCTTTCCTTTTTTTGGAAGAAAAATACTATTAATGTTTTTTTTTAGTCAATATCAGATCTGGTCTGCGTTTAAAAATAGTCATTTTTTGAAATAAACAATTAGATAATAAATGAATGCGTGATTGTATAAATAAACTCTAATATTATTCATAGTTTTATAACACTAGTTGATAGTTTGCAAGTATTAATTCATCGACTATTAAAGAAAATAATTTTTTATTTATGTACGTTTGAAGCCCATAGAGAAAGGAAATATTGTGCAAAAGTCCGAGAATATCAAAAAAACTAATATTATAATAATACTCACTTTTAACAGTCGCTACATTATTTCTCCTGACTGCATCCCAAGGTTGAACGCCAAAACGTGTATGATTTCTGCTTCTTATAGTACAATGAACTTAAAAAAATATCGAAGTCCTGCAAAGCTTTTCTTTTTTCTATAGTGCCATACCAGTTATAGTTCGAGCGAAGCATATGAGTTCTAACAGCTTCTGAGACGGACGTTTTTATTCAATTTCCTTTTACCAATATAATCTAGGCGATATACTCTGGTGACCGTGAAAGTTTGATTAAACCCATTTTTGTTTGAACTTTTTCGACTTTTTATAGCGAAATTCATTCTTATGGCCTATAGCAGCGCTCTCATTGGCGCCATAAGAACCAACGGTTACACTATGCAAGACGTTCTTGACTATTCTTGTGGTGAGTATTCTGTCAAGATTCTTTGAGATTTTTCGTATATCATTATATATAGAGAAGCTATACACGTGCCAGACAGAAAACAGAACTTACGAGGGAAGTACCTCAACTGATAAATCGCTTTTCCAACGAAACCGAGTGGACTATAGGTAGTGGATGATGTTGATTCTGAATATCACCATGACTGCTGCTGCTAGATCTTCAAAGGACGGTTTTATGGAAAACCAGTTTTCGATAAACTCTGAAGAACAACCAAAAGCTTTCTTAATGAGGCGTAATTATAGTCCATAAATTTCTGATTACAACGAGGTATCTCCCAGCTCTACACGACCTTTCTTTGCAAAGTTATAGAATCCGCAAGAAAAGCCCTAAATGTTCATTGTCACCTCAGAGCTACAGAAAGAAAAACGAAAAATGAATTCAGTGCTTTCTTGTAAACTCTATAACTTTGCAAAGAAAGATCGTGTAGAGCTGGGAGATGCCTCATTTTAATCTGAAATTTATGGACTACAATTACGCCTCATTAAGAAAGCTTTTGGTTGCTCATCAGAGTTTCTCGAAAACTGGTTTTTCAGAAAACCGATCTTTGAAGGCCTAGCAGCAGCATTCATGGTGATATTCGGAATCAGCATCGTCGACTACCTATAGTCCACTCGGTTTCGTTGAAAAAGCGATTTATCAGTTGAGGTACTTCCCTTGTTAGTTCATGAAGACAGACAACTGACCATAGTGATTCACTCTAGTTAGTAGACAGTTAAGGCTTTGGTGATTGACGAAAATAACGTTATTGAAAGATCAACCCAATGTATGAAAGAGGAACTTAGTATGTGCATTTATTCTTTCATCATTTCGGATTTTTATCTTTTAGATACTGTCGTTTTTCTTCTCCGTCACATTATCTAATTTAGCCTTTTTTATGTTTTAAAGTCTCATTCATCAGTGACGAACTATCGTATTCTTCTGCGCTTGTCTTTCTTCTCCTGTTTCACAAATCTCTACTTTACTTCTGTAACATCTTTCGTCTTGAAGAATCTACCGTTATAAAACCTTAAAAACTCTTAAAATTAATCTGATCTGCTCCTCACAAATGAATAATAACCCATTCAAGGCTACTAATTAGTAGTTAATATATTCATAAAATTGTTTAGTTGTCTATTTATTTGTTTATGGCATTAACATCGATAAAAGGAAAAGATTTACTCACATACTAACTTTCCCTTAGTAAAAAATCTGTTTATGACCAGGGACAGAAACTTTTCCTTCGAAATTTTACAAGTTTCTATTCATGACCGTATCTGCAGAAGTGAGCTAATATTACAAGAACGTTTAAAGATTTTCAAGAAAAGTTTCCTTAAACAAAGTATAAGGAAAGATTCCTTAAAGAACATACTTAAAGAAAAGAGTCTTTAAAGAAAAAAAATCTGATAAATTCTTGAAGTAGACAGTCACATGATTCCTAAAAGAATCAATCGGCTTTTTTTACGGAGCAAGATCTTGAACAAAAAACCTTAGAAATAGAATCCTTCAAGAATTTACCAGATATAAGAATTAGGGGTGCAGCAGTAACGGTTGACAATCGGTTACCGGTTCTGACCTATTGCCATTACCGGTCTGATTTTTCCATGTTAAAAAGTGTTTTTCCTCAACGTTATGTTGATTAACAGAGAATTGTGATTAAAGAAACATTTATTTTGTGTTTTGAATTGTGTAGCAAATATTTCTTTTGTTTTTTAAGTTTATTGTTTTACATGATGACTATTTTTTTAAGCAAATTCTTGGTATATAACCAATAATTTGCTCTTCAAGAAGAAGTGATTCGAGAAAACATCTAATAAAAAGTTTGGTATTAAAGGAGAAGCGACAAAAAATAATGTGCACATGTACAACTCCAATCGTAGCTACTAGCTGCCACTCGTTTTATTCGAATAATAATTATAAAAAAACAGAAAATCTTGATCCGAAACAAAAAAGCCCTCTCTCTTCACTAAGCAATATCCTATATATATATATATATATATATAGTATCACTAGAGACCAAAAGAATATTGACTCAACTATTTTGAATCAACATTCTTTCATGACAAAAGAAGAAAGAGAATGGCAGCGTAGCTATCATAACATTTTTGACTCAACTCTTTTTGAGTCAACATTCTTTCATGACAAAAAGGAATGATAGTGAGCATAACACTTCCCGCATGTGTGTAAGATGAGCCTCCTGGCTCATCAAAAAAATAACAACAGTGGAAAACTTAAAAAAACGATTGTAATTATTAATTACCATATTAATAACCATAGTTTTGAGCCAATGTTGTTAGACTTTGAGTTTTGTGAAATATTGGAGCTGTCGCTTGGACAGATTTATTGAGAGATTCCAACGGTTTTTGTTGTTTCTGTTGTATATAGTAAACTAGTTTACCAATTTCTGCTGACGATAGCGGTTGTTGTTCAACGTTTGGTGTTGTAGTTGATGGTGGACGAGTACGTTGTTCAACTGTAGACATTAGATGGTTTAAAACTGGGATATTAGATGATAATCCAGATTTGTTCAAATGCTGAATTGTCTGATGGTCTTTTGCGGCGCGACGTGTACGATATCGGCGAAAGTGTTTATAGCCACAATCAGAACAGAGACAGCAGGATTCACATATACATGTACCAATCGCAAACAAAATAATACCTACAATTGTAACATGTGACCAACTATTTGGATTAAATGAGGTTTGATCTTTTTTTGTTTGAGCAACCTGTGCATCGTGACTTGCAACTAGACTATCCAATTTGTTGTTTACTTCAATTTTATAATACTTGGACGAGCATGCTGGATGTAGATAAGTTACGAGAATAATTAGTAATATTGGTTGAATTTCCACGCTAAATTCACTAGAGGGTTGCAACTAGTGGTGTAAGCCGCCCCGCCGATTTCTTCTGAAAAGTTGTAGCCGCCGCCGAACCAAAGAAAAGTTTAAAAAGTTCTCAGCCGCCGCCGCCGACACCATCCAGGATGAAATTCGAAATTTTAATAGGTAAAATCGAAGGTATTAATAACCTCACTCATTTTTATTTGATTTTTATAATATATTTAAAACTTTCACCTGACATGGACCATACTGATTATTTCATCAAAAATCTGTTTATTCAAATCAAAACACCTAATACTCCAAAACCATCATTTATTTAGAATTATTTTGGTGGTTTATAGAGAAAACCAAATGAACCATTGGATCTTGAAAAAATTTATTGTAAAATATGCTTCGACAAATTTAAAGATGAAAAACCAGATGTTGTTTTTTCGTCAATTCGAAAAAAACTTGGGAGTTTATAGTGCAACAAGCGCCACAGGAAATATGAAAAATCATCTGTTGGTAGTTCATCGAATATCAGAACCTCAACAAACCAAAATAACTAACCAACACATTGTTTCTAGTTTTTCTCGAGATCATCATGCAACAAAAGCTTCGCAATTAAAACAACAACTCGGACATAAATTAACATTAATGTGTTGTCGAGATTTACTTCCTTTTTCAATTGTCGAAAATGAAGGTGTGTGTGTTTTTAGCAATTAAATATTACCCATGAGTATTTTTTCGATTCCAAAACCGCAGCTAAACGCGTTTTCTTGCCAAAAAACCTTCTAAATCGCGGTCCTCTTATTCCAAACTGCGTTTTGTTAGGACACTGCGGTTAACCAACGCACGCAGTTGCTCGCGATTTGAAT